AACTGCTGCTCATGTTTAGCATGAGCTTAGTCTTTTCTTACCAGATGTGATTAGCAGAATATAGGGCTTATCCACTCTTCCTAGTTCTTATTGTCTGATTCAATTTTTATAAGCATTTATAGGCAGAATTGCTTATGCTTTCTTTCAAAGTGGTGTTTTCTCTCTTTTGGGAGAGGTTGCTTCACAATTGTTTTATGGGCATAGGTTCCTGCATCTTCCTTTGGAGTACACAGTGTTAATCACTCCATTTGATGTGATACTGAACTATGTGGACCCTTTGGTCTGTGGTGGTATTTCCAATGAAAACTTGTACCCCAAAGCACAAACCTATTGGTCTATAAAAGTAACGTTTGCTGTATAGGGTGAGGGGTTTTTTCAGGATATTCTTGGTTCACTCACTCCTCATAAATTTATGCTCATAAATATGATAGATGTAGACTGCCATGACTGACAGTTGTCTTTTTTCCTTGTTGTTAGGTAGCTTTTTGCAGTTACTCACAGCTGAGCAGACTTGTGAATTCTGTGAATTTCCTTTACTGAATCTGGCATGAAAATTTCTTTGTAAAAATGTGGTTTATTTCTTACACAGAAAGAACAGATTACAGCCCTGAGAAAAAGTGCTAGCAGAGGAAAATAGGGGTAGCTCGACACATTTGTTGACAATTTCACTGTTTTGTTTAAAAAATTGCCAGGATTTGTTCCTACAACAGATCATGATTTTTTTACAGGCACAGTACCTCATGAGAAGAATAGTGCTTTTGTTCCTCCAAACTGGTATTTCTTAATTGTCAGCGTAAATGAAAGCAAGATGGTAACAAAGTTTTCCCAGACACAAGAATGGAGAAGAAAAATATAAAGTATGCCTGTATTCAGATGCAGTATTTAGATAGGAGTGATGTGGAGTAAATAGGGGACCTTTTTTTTTTTGCAGTGATGCGCTTGTGTTCTTCCCCAAAAAAATGTTTATGATGATTTTTTTAACATATGTTGAAAGGATAGAAGGTCTTTTGAATTTTGTGTATTTAACTACAAACCACTGAAAAGGGAAGTAATTAAAGCAATGTGTGTCTCCAAAGAAATGTGGATTTGACATTTTATTCCTAACTGGATTTCTCTTATGACTGATTATTACTAGCAGAATGGCACCAGTTGTTATCAGATTTTGGAGTGCTTGCTTTGCTAAGTTTGCAGTGTACAAATACTTTATAATTGATTTTTTAAATGAAGTATTGTAGAGGTCCCATTCCTTCCTGTTGTAACTCTCCCATTGACCTCCCTGGCACCTTGGCCTGAATTAAGCCTGAACAACTGAAACCAGACTTAGGGAAACTCTAGAAAGCCTAAGTGTAGAACTACTTCAACCTGAATTATTGCCCAGCTCTTGAGCTTGAAAACAAAGGCCAAATATGTTTGTCAAAATCTGCCTGTCACTGCCTTGGCATGGAAATTGCAATTTCAAGTGATTTCTTCCAAGTCTGAGGCTTAGAGGTTTCTCCCTGCTTTCCCTCCCCGCCAAATACTGGACAGCTGAAAGATTTGGCCTAGATTGCTAGCAAGTTTTCCCTTCTCTCACTCAATGTAAGTAAGTGGTGAGAATCAGCATATTTCTGTTGAACTTAGAGGTGACTTTCTTGAAGTATTAGATGAACTATCACATTACAGTACTCCCACCTCTTCCTACAGTTTATTCCTGTGCTGGTGAAGATGGAGACAGTCAGTTCTGGCAGCTGCATGGTTTTAGGAAATAATCTACTCTAAACTCATGGTGAGGCCAGCTTTGTGTGAAGACATTATGTCACAAAGAGAAGTGTCTGCTTGTGGCCTGTTTTGGAAGTACCTCTTTTCCGTCATTCTCCAACTGCAAAGTAGATGTTTGGTGTTTCTAGTGTCCCTGCCAACAAAAGTTTGCACATGTTCTTGGTGTAAATACAGAACCTAGAGAAACAAGTTCAAGCTGTACCACTTCTTATGCAGTCTTGAGGCTGAAGACTGAAGTGCTTGAGTGCATTTAGCATCTTTATCAAGTTTTCCATAAGTTGCAGTGCATCCCAGTAACACAGAGCAGCAAGTTCTTGTTACACTAGTTACTGTGGTTGAAAACATGCCCCCAAATACTCCCAGTTGAATGATTTCCCATATGCCTTGGTAGTACTGAGGAGAATAATGGAACTTATTTTCACCTCTACTGACAAAATCATTCTCTTTCTGTATTTTTACAGTGGGCATCAATGCTATTGCTGTTTTCAATCCCTGTTTTAACAATGCTGATTATCACACCTTATTGTGTTAGTGCAGAGGCTGGGCTTCCACAGGTATCCCACTGAAGTTTGAGTGGCATAGTTTGATTTTCCTCTGGTATAAAAGTAGCTGCTCTGTTTCCTTGGTTCTCTGTATAACTGATCGAGACTCAAAACCTGAAATCTAACGTATTAAATCTATTGCCTGAAAAGGAATCATTTCTGTTATTGCTAATGTCTTGCACCACTGGATAGCGGTACAAACCTTAAGACAGTAAACATGATCACAGAATTTGGAAACCAGTGTCTTCATGATGCTGTTACTTAAAAACTCTAATTCATCCTCACTATTTCTGAGGAGGGATCAATTAGCTACCCAGTTGATAATTTAGGATTTCTGGCTGTAAGGAATAGACTGACCTGACACAAACTATTCTGTCAGGAGCTGTAGTTTTCCTCTGGCAAAGATTTGTTGGTTAAGAAGTGACTAATGGCTATTTACCAGGAAGAATCAGGTGTGATTCCTACACAAGCACTTGGGTCAAGTTCAGCAGTCATTCAAGCAGTAGTGCAATATGGTATAAGGACACCAACTATTCTTAAAGGAATATTCAGCCTTGAAGGGGTTTTCAGAGGGAATGTAGCCAGTGAAGACCCTTACTTGAACTATTAATCAACATACTGCATGCAAAAATGGTGGTTCATTTTGTAAACCCACTATACTGATGCAAATTTAATATTACATCATTGCTTCTATTTCCTGACCCTGTTGCACATAATATGAACCTTTATAATCAGAAGATTCAGCTTTCCCTGTTGTAAAAAGACCATGGGAATGGGTTTGGTTATTTGATATAAGAGAAGAAACACTGTTTTCTGAATTGGGCTGTCTTTATTAGGTTGGATCTGAATACACTAAAACTTTGCACAAGTTTGGATCCACACCTGAGCTGTATAGCTGGACTCAATGAGCTAATCCAAATACTGGATAAGTGAACGTAATGCCCCTTGTGATTCCTTGTTTCTACAGCTGGGGAAGCAGATGTTACAGACTGTGTTACTTGAGTGGTTATTCTTCTCATTTTTGCAATATAGTCTAGTTGCTAATTAGTACAGGGCTTAGGGATGGCCCCAAAATGTAATGAAATGTCAAGTTCCCTTTTCATTCTTACCTTCTGAAAACTGCACTTTGAATCTATTTCATGATGAGGAAAGAGCCCTAATATTTCAAGTTTCTGTGCACAGACTGAATCACAAATTGAGCTGTTCCCCAGATCAGTGGAACTAAATCAAAACATTGTGAATAGATTCTACCACAACCTCACCCACTAAAGTCAAAATCATACCCCAAGCATGATGTGATGACAAAAATGTGTAGAACCACTTTAAATCATAAAGAAGCAAAGTGAGAATATAGGGATTACCTTTTGCTTTACAAAGGCTTAAGCGTAAGAAAATTAGGAAGAAAACATTTTTTAAAATGTTGTTCAAATGAAAGTTCTGTAATAATGCAACTGTTTGTTTGAGGATGCTGAATGTATAGTTTATTATAGTTCACTTCAAAGTCAGCTTCTTTAACTGACTACATGTGTAGATAGCCTTTTGCTATAAATGATCTGTCTTTACATTTGAGTTATGAACACATCATATATTGTCTTCGTAAGAGCAGTAGATTTCCTAGCTGCCATCATTTACCATTGTAGTGAGTTCCTTTGAACTCACTTCCCCTTATTGTCTTCAAAGCACTGAGTTTAGTTTACCCAGACCCCTGATACAGTTTGTGTATCACTACTGATCTTTCACTGTGCTGTCTTTAGAGGAGAAACAGCAGCCACAAATGTTTCAGAGCTATAAACACACTGTGTCCCTACTGTAGCCAGGCATGGTGTAACACACGCTAGATTATTTATGGTAACAGTGGTGCACCTTTGTTTCAACAGGGTTGGACTCACTGCTCAGCAGGTGTCTGCCCTGATAGCCTTCTATTCCCCACACAGAAATATTAGTTGATTATTCCGATTAATTCAACAGCTGATTCAATTAGCCTGATGCCCATCCTCCTTTCTGTCTCCTAATCAAATCCCATTTCCCTGGAGGTACATAATGCAATTATTTATACACAGATTGATATCTTTCTTTTATAGTTCAATTGTTAAATTAAATACCTTTTTGGGTTTGATTCCAGGTGTTTAATTTGAGCGTGCCTTTGCCTGTCTTGGCCCATATTGCAGAAGGCTTTTTTACTTAGGAATTAGAAAAAGTCCTTCTTTCTACAACTGTGATGCTCTCCTGCTCAATGCTGCATCTCACTTCATTGAATTACTGAAACAGCTGAGCAAACAGAAGCCTGCTCTGAAATATTTTGCAAGGAGAGAAACAGGCCAAGCCTGTTGAACAAATGATTATTTTAAAGCCTTAAAGTCAGCTCAGTTTGGCATGCAGTCGTCTTTGTCAGAATATTGCTGTGTTTCCTTGCCCTGGCAAAGTTGGTGCAAGCAAAAGTGGTACATTGGGGAAGATCTGTGTCTTTGGTCCAATTCCATTGTGCTCAGTGGCAAGTATTGCATTTGTACAGGAGAAACCAAAGCTCACAGAGACAAGAGTCTTAATTACACAGGAATACAGATCAACATTACAACTGCATTTTAACCTTAGTCTTCTGATGCTTATTCTAGAGGCTGGATGATAAGCTATTTTACCTTCCAGAGAAACACTCTTAGATGTAGAATTTTGAATAAATAGCAAAGTGAAGTCAACACTTACTCATAAAATTCAGCTGCAGGAGTGAGCTTGTACTTCGAGTATTTGGTACCATTGCCAAGCACTGATGCATTGAAGAGTTTGGGATCTGTACAGTTTGGACTGTTCCAACTGTTGTCACAGTTTGTCCAGGGGAGCTCAAATGTGAATGATGAAAATAGATAATACAGAGACCAAGCTATGATAACGTTGTAGTAGAAACCCACGTAAAGAGCTATGAGTATCACTGCATAGCCTACACCTAAAGACAAAGGAAAACTAGATTATACATTGCATTTCACATGCAACAGTATATGCAAATACTATAGTTACTCAGCCATACAGGATTGCAAATTCATTTTAGATCTTCAGACCAATAAAAGGAATTTTTGACGTTTACATACACACATGCGGACACAGTGTCACTGACCTTGAAACAAAAAATTACATTAATGATTTTGGAAAACCACTGGCTTTTAGCAAATCCAGTTGTTTGCCGGAAAAAGAAATTAAGCAGTGCAATGTCAATATTTGCTCTTGTACAACTCCATGGCTGATTTGCTTCCAACGCATAAGATTACAAGCCCATCTTAGGAGTGAAACTCACTTCATTTTCATAATGTCAGAATCCTTGGCAACTTTTCTTGGAAAAGTAAATCTTGACACTTAAGGGAAGTTTCCCTATGCTTCACATTCCCACCCTGAGCTAGTTTGGAACAGACACCGATCTCTCTCCTGTTTCTTTCCCATTGTTACTCTCCAGACTGGCTTCCGTCAGTGTGTAACTATGTCCAAAACATGCATGAAACAGTGTGTGCTGTTCCACCGAGGGGGCTCCAAGTGGTGCTTGGGCATGCCAGTAAATTTTGGTGAATATCAAGCTTGGGGCTAAACTCTGTGTGGAACTTCAAACCATTTTATTATCTCCCCAGGATTAGAGAATCACCACTGTAAGCATTCTCTTTTGACTTTGAGCACTTATTTTGTGGTTTTGTGTACTGTGAAGTGTGCTTGTAAGGTCCCTTTAGCGAGAGAGCCCCAGAGAGTGCATGTTCTTTTCATGAAAACGGACATTTTTCCAATGGTTTGGGAGGAAGCTGTGGTACTAATGTCAGAGCAGAACAATAATTTGTTGCTAGGATTGTTCAGGAAGCTTGCTTTACCTTGGCTTATGTCATTCTTCCTTTACTCTGTGCACAGCATTGTCCTCTGAATCCTACCCCAAAGTTGTATGTATTACATATAACAGGTAGAGACTAAAGCTGTTTTATGACTGTCATCACTGTACTGTCACAGCACCTAAGTGTAAACCTTTACTTCTGATTTTCTTCAGCTTAGTTTTTTGAAGATACTGCATTGGAGGCCTAGAAGTTGGAGACCATTAGGCTTTCATATTTCTTGATAAAGCAAGGAAGTAGCACACACTTGGAGTATTAATCCTTGGTTTAAAATCTGCATAAGGAACAGATGCTGACCCTGAAGGAGTCGGTAGTTCAACGACTGCTGCATATACCAATGTTAGTCTTTGCTCTTCGGGTGGCTTTTAATAAATAGGCCAGTTTGCTCATCCCTAACATCAGGGAAACGATTGTGAAAGTAAAGATGAAACTGTATCTTCAAATGCTTGGGGCTTAAATGAATCCAGTACATGAACACTCAAACTCTAGTGATACTTTATCATCAACAGAATGGAGCAAAGGCGGGAATCACCCAAGGGGATAATTCTTAAATATTAATGTGAATGTTAAAATACTAAGTGTGAATTATACATGTTGCACTGAAATGGGATGACTCCTGTTTGAAAAAATTGTTCCTGGAATTCCTCCAATTCAGAAGGACAATAGATATTTAATATCAAGATTAAAAATACTGGATCAAATGTATCTTAAATGTCACTCCTCTGAAATCGTAAGAATGTTCAGGAATTAATTTGCTCTCCTGCTTCTAGGTCTAGCTTTTCCTAAAAGTAGTGCTGCACCACCCACACTCTAAAATAGACGCTGGAAAATGCAGAGATGAAAGACTGTGTTGCAAAGGTTACAGGGTATATTTTTAATTACTTGTGTTATGAGAGCATCTCATTAGAAGTAGAGTCCTTAGTATTCATAGCAATAATATTCATAGCTAAAATTAGTACTATAGTGCTGTTCATTTAGAGAAGCTGTTATAAATCTGTGTAGACTGTGTACTCTTCATTTGAGTGAGAGATTTGTGTTATTCCAGAAACAACTCAAAAGGATTAGCAGTAAAACGTGTTTGTATGTTATCAGAAGATCTGGTCAAAACCGTAAAAGTACTGAGTTCGTACTAGTGCTGAGGTGGAAATACAACTCAATGCTTATTACTTTTTGAGAATCAAATAACTTATGCTATTCTATATCCTAGTAATAAGAACACTTAAAAATCAACAGTAATGTATGTTTAGTCCACCTTGAAAATGTCAGCTTAAAACCATAGCTGGAATGTCAACATGACTATACATGAAATATGTTCTATTTTCCTTTCTCATCATCTTTTCAATCCTGAAGTCAACAGATAGAGTACCTCTGAGTGCAGTGGTATTTGGCTTAAACACTTTGAGATCCTTAAGGTCTAATTTTTGCAGTTAGGTTTTCAAAATCCTTGTTGCCATCCAAAGGTATTAACTGATACAGGCAGGAGTTTTGATTAAGCAAGGGTCTTCAGCTTCCTGGGTGCTGGGATGAATTTAAGGTGGGATTATAGAAGGGCTAGGTAAATCCATATGAATTCATTTTAAAATTTTGAGGCACATATTTTATTAGCTCGCTTATTTCTTTCTTATTGTATCTCTAATTTTGCTGTGAGTTTTGAGTTTGACTGATAAAAAACCCTGCAGTTTTCTTATTCTGTGGCACTAGACTCCTTGAAGAGGAAAACTGTATTTTGAGAAAGAAGACTAACATTTACTCAGTGTATGTAACCTATATCCAAGCACTGGATCTGCCATGTTTGGACTGCTATTGTTAAGCTCCTCAGCATTTGTCAGTCATGGGATGAACATGATCTGAATTTTAAGCTTCTAAGATCAACTGAGCTTGACTGGTTTCATTTCAGATAGCTCTGTGTTGAAAGGGCTTTTACATAAGATTTTAGATACAGCCATGTAGATATAAGGGAACTTAAAATTTTTGCTGGTAAGCAATGCTTAAGAAAATTCTTGAGGCTCCTTAACAAATCTTTGTTTCATGTACAGAAAGCATATGACTTCTTTCACCCAGGGAGATCCCTTTATCCCTGGTGAAAGCCAAATACCCTGGTCAGTATCCAAACACCTAACCTCAGCTATTTCTTCCTTGCTGAATGACTGCAACTCAGCGCACAAGACAACACTCTGCAGCCTTTTATTGTGACACTGGAGAGTTAACCCTAGTGGAAAACACTCAATAATAATGTTTAGGTTTAAAAAGTTCTTTTCATTGCTAGATTTGAAAAACACTCTACAAAGTCTATCACAATCATTGCTCCCATTTCATAGGCAGGAAAACTGAGCTACAGAGCCACAGATAACTCATGTGATGTTACAAGTCTAGCGGCTGAACTACAGTCTTCACAATTCCATGGAGTCAGTGGTTATCTTAGGCACTGGGAGAGACAAGGCTGAACTGACCTGGATGCGATTTGGTATTTCCAAATGTTTGCATTGCCAAGCCTCTCTCCACCTAGAGATACCTAGTTCCTCCCACTCCCCAATATGCAGGGGAAAGGGAGGGCAGGGCTGAACTGCTCCTGCTCTCATTGCTCTCTGTTGCACTCCTCAGCAACCACCCTGATGATGATTTCTGTGGCTTTTCCCATTTTGTGCTCCACCTGTGATAACAAAAAGACTTCTGATTTCAAGGGTTGGGGAAAGGTCTGCAAATATCATGCTGTCCGTGAAAAGATGAGAGACCTTTACTTTGTTTGTGATCACAAGTGTGTGGCACCCTCACGGTGCTATTCAGGTGAGCAGAGGGACACTTACCTTTGAAAACCGGACAGATTTTCCACACAGTGGCAGCCCCTTCTCGGTTATACTGTCCCAGTGCTAATTCCATATAGAACAGAGGCATTCCAGCAATGATTAAGAAGAGGATATAGGGAATAAGAAAAGCACCTGGAAAGAGAATAGTTAGGCATTGTAGTGTATGTTTTGGTTACATTTTGCTTTCTCTATTGCTTACTTCTACTGGCTGAAGACAAAGCCACTGCCTTTGAGAAGCAGAAGGGAAATATCAGGAAGCAAGAACCCATGTTCTCTTGTCCCTTTCCTGTATTTTTTTTTTAAGGTCTCAGACACAGAGCCCCTGAATAAAAAGCTGTGGACCGTGGCTCCTATTCCCCCCTAATGTTTCCCCTCTGCTTTTTGGCTTCAAAGGGGAAAAAAAAAAGTGTCCCTGAAAATTAATCCCTAACTGCAGAAGAAATGATGCTGAATACACTTGCAGAGCTAAAATGGAAAGGGACTATGAAAAATTTTGTTTAAGATTTTTTTAGTGTAGTATGGTCAAAAGGGAGCACGGAGGCCAGCAACAGAGGGAAAAAAAATGTTGTATGAGTTCCTGTTAGTGTGGTTTAAATCATACTGTGTAAGGTGTCTGCAGGAACCTCTGGCTTGAAAATGAATCACTACTGGTCAGTCATACAGAATTCGGGCTTCTATGGCATATTTTGGGATTTTTTTGTTATAATAAATTCCCTTTTTCTTATGAAATGTGTTAGACAACACACCCCTTTCCTACCTAGTGATACTCATCATCGTTAATGTGGAGTATGTACCAGGTTTCGCTGCTAGGCCCAAGTAGAGCATCTTTCTATTGCAGCAGGACAGTGCTGGCACTGCTTGCACTTTCCTGGAATACAGAACTTTACTTGATTGAGGATTCTCCTGTGAGTTCATAGCACAGAAACTGTCACTTGTGGAAAAATCCTGATGTGTCAGTGCTACTATCATAAGAAGTATTGCCATCTGAAATAGTGATCTGAAAAGGATCATCTAATATGGAAAATTTCTTAGCTATTTTATATGATCCAGGTCACAGAAAGAAGACTACCCCAGTGCATGGCTACATATGATACTATAAAGCAATTATAGTTGGTCTCATGTTTAATAACTGGATGCTCTGTCAGTCCACTGCTTTGTGGTATCTGTGAAGTGTAGCTTTTATTTTATTGCATTGCTTACTTGGTCCAGAACAGTTCAATGCATGTAAAATTTGTCTGTATAAAAAAATGATTAGATTGTTTTGATAAATAAAGAGATGACAGAGCTACGTATCCTGAATAACTGACTGCTGTCCTTAGGAGTTACATATGAAAAAGACACTAGATTGTGAAACTCATGGTTAAAAAAAGAAAAGATGAAAATAAGAGCAGCTGTCTATTTCTTCCAATAGTAAGTAGCAGGAAATTTTGCAAACCTTTAAAATCTGTGATGCTGGTTTAGTAATTTGAAAACTTGCCTTGCAAGTAAATTTGCATTGCTTCTAAGTATATAAACTTACAGAAGGCATGTGTAGTCTATAAAAGTATAAAAGCTGAAAGCATGACTGTAGCTATCTAAAACATGCCAGTACGCAGAATGAATTGCATAGTTTAAAAGTACTTCTGAAACTACTGTTGTGCTTTTAAAAGTCTGAATAGTTGTTGCTTGTTTACCTTTCATGTTTGCTTTTCACATAGTAGTAGTGTAAGCTGCCTAGCGTTGACTGTTCAGAGAGGGAATTTTGAGGTTATACAGGAGAATAAGAATGGAAAAACAAACTCTGTTCTCTTAGTTGTACCACAAATCTACTTCTAAAAGTAATGTACCGTAACGTAATGATAAGGACAATGTATTCAGCATTCAGTCTTAAGTTTAGGCATTTGAAAGTTGAGATCTTGCAATGAAACGGAGAGATATCAACAGAAAGAAAGAATAGCTTAAAGCTTTGAGAATGTATCCTAAAAGCTGAAATATATTAGTTGTACCACTCTGAGGGCAGGAATCTTCTTATTCATGATGTTTATATGGAGTGTAGTGTGAACGCAACCTGCATTCACATAAGTGACTACAGTACCAGTGATATATGTTTTAATAATATTTCAGTGTTATTCATAAGCTGCTTACTATGATTGGCATGTTGGAACCATCATATGTTTGAATATTGCAGAGAAAAAAAATTTGTATTCAACAAATACTTGATACCCTGCAGTTCTGAGCTCTGTTCAATGTTGAAACATACTTGGCTAAATCAATGTGGGATACTACATATTGCTTTCACTATATCTACTATCTAGAAAAATTATTTTAGGTGGTTTTACTGTCAGATTTCTTGTGACAGCCTTTGAAGTGCTATACTGTCTTGCTTTGATAGTATTACTGTGTGTGGAGCTGACTCACAAACCTAGCTTGTATTTGGGAGGTATGGAGTTTGCACAGAGTGGTTTGATTACCTTTAATGTCAAGAGCCTCTGGAAAACATGATGCCACAAATTGAATAGGAAAGTTTGTGTTTGAAAAAATTAATCCGGAGATGTGTAGTGGACATACATATTAAATGCTAATTTAAAGTACATGTTTTTAAAGTATGACTAATACCATGATGAACTGTGAAGTGTACTGTACTTAGGCATACTTGCTTAAGCGTCATCTGTTTGGCTGTGAGTGTCATTCCAGGCTTTAGTTAAAGGAGGTTTCTTTCTTTTTTTTCTTCCCCCGCCCTGCCCCCGCAAGGGATTAATAAGATGTGGTGTAATTTTCAGCAAAGAGCAATTACACAGTATGGCAGGGTTTCATAGCTGGGTTACTTTTCAGGTAACTAAATGATTGAAGTATTTTGAAATTGAGATAAATATCGAAGTAAGGGTGCTTAGTCACATTAAGTTGATTTAATGTTTTGGAGACTTCTGGAAACTTCTTGTTTAGCAGCTTCTGGTTAGGTAAAAAAAATAGCAAAAAGTCAGGTATTCTATAAATATCTTGATATTTGCTCTTCTCTTCTTAGCCAATATCCAGAATCAAACTTCATGGTGTTCACCGAACCCTTTCTGAGATCATGGGCACTTCAAAGGAAAATAAATGATGGTCAAAGTATCATTCAAATTGTGGCAAACTAGAATGGTATGCAAATGCTTATAAACAGCGTATGTGTGATATATGATCAACCTCACTCTGCGGTTGCACAGGTGCTCCATCATAGGACTGGTTTGTATACAGTAACTTATGAACAAGAGGTGTTGTTTGGAAGGAGACTTCATACCATCCTGCATGTGTGGACATTCTGTGGGCCAGAGAGGAGGCAAACAGGCATCCTGGTGGGCCTCCCTCTGTAGGTCCACTGGTGTGAATTTGAGCATCATACCAGACTTCTTTGAAGGAGTAACCTCGCTGTTAATGCCTACGTGGTCTATGAAGTCAAAATGTGTTAGGAAGAGTGTCACAATGCCAGCAATGTCACTCCCGCCTGTGCCACTGGCCACAGAAGCTGCTGTGCTTTCATTGTGTGAATCCAAGGGCCAGTCAGATTTGTATAGCCCAGACAGCTGAACTCTTAGGGAACACACAGTTTGGCTAACACTTCAGACTAGCTTGCCAAGATCTACCTACCTCAGAGAGCAGAGTGAATGCAATCTGTGGGATTGCTGCATTGGCAGTTAACATGCTAACAGCACTCAAGGGGATTCCACTCCCCCACTGTGTGATGAGATTGGGCTGAGCACACAGCTGCATCCCACAAGGCAATGCTGGTCTCAGCAATCCCTAATGGTTCAAAATTTCCCTTTACAGCTACAAACTGAAGTAATTAACATCTGTAATACAGCCCTGGCATACTTGGCTTGCTACAGAGTCACATGCAGCTCAAAAGCCACAGGTTGGCCCCCAACTGTTGCGAATTGCTACATCTCTCTGTTAACAGATTTCATGAGATCTATATACATCCCTTAGGGTATCAGTGGACACATGGAGTTAACACAGCCTTGTGTCTTATGCAAAACTAGATTAGGTCAAACCCTCAGCTTCTACAAGAACCATCTGTGTGAAACTTCAAGTGGAAACTTATACAGAAGTTTTTTTTAAAAACTATTACGTTTAATTAATGAAGGACAAAGTACATGACGGGCTTTGCATTCCTGTGTTCAGTGCCAAAACAACTTCTTAATTTTAGTATAACAGAATCACACAAAGAGTGTCTCCTTCCTCTGTTCTTCAGCATTCACAGCATCCTAGGGGGTGGGAACCAAAGAGGAATACAGCTCTAAATACTCCTTTCAGTCCTATAAGGAGGTCTCCTCTTGCTTTTAAATACCAGAAAGAAAGAAGCATCAATTTACTAACGACTGAAAAATCATTTAAACAGCTGCTGTTATCCTAAAATGATCTGTTGATACACATGCAAGAAGCAGGCCAGGAGATGGGTAGTTAAACAACTTTGAACTATTTGTGCTCGTTAGCCTTCTGCATTTTTTACCATGGTTATTCTAGTCAAAATGTTAACTGGCAGGGATGTCTGCTAAAACAACAATCTTTGTGCAAATATTGCAGTATATTTTCAGATAGGAGTGTTTCCAGTATTTGTGCAGGAAAAGAGTCTAAAACCAAAGATCTCTCAATTGGTGAATTGAAATACAAGCTAATCACTGTAGCTGATTAACACTGCTTGTCCTTTTTTTTCATACAGAATAAGTAGTACTTCAAACAGTATCAGCAAACAGTTGATAGAATACAGTACGTTTGCTTGGACAACGAGGAAAATGGGTGGAAGCTGTAATCTGTGCAGACTCTTGTGAATGAAAAAGGAAGTCTTCAATGCAGAGATCTTAAAATATACATTGTACAAGATCACCCTAGGTAGAAAAACAAAACTAAGTAAACAGAAAGGCAGGCATTTCTTAGTGCATGAACGTTAGTTCTGGCTCTTCAGCAGACTAGCTACCAGCTGGCTTGCACAGCCATAGAGGGCACTTCTGATGTAGGATGTAAGCTTGAGGCTGTTGCTGACTCCTGGGAAGAAGGGGTGGAAGGGTAGATCTTTATTGACCTGAGATTAAAAGCAATAAAGGTTTGTGTGGTATAGCAAAGAGAAGTCAGAGATACAAAGGAGCATGATGTAACCTCAGTGTCAAAGCCAAG